AGGGATCCTCCCTGAGCCAAGACACAGGGGTGGGCCCAGGCCCTATCCCAAAGGATACGACAGACTCTGAAGACTCCCTATGGAGGCCTCACTCTCCCTGGAGAGCAGAAAGGGTATGGGATAGGTAGGGTGTTAGTTGGGAGGGGGGGCTAGGGGAGGGAGAGGGAACTGAAATTGACATGTAAAACAATCTTGTTTCTAATTCAAATAAAAAAAATGATGCTGCCTAAACCATTCTCGCTCAGAATGGTTTCTTCTAGTTCCATCCATTTGCCTGCGAATTTCAAGTTTCCATTGTTTTTTTCTACTGAGTAATACTCCATTGTATGGATGTACCACATTTGCTCTATCCATTCTTCAGTTGAGGGGCATCTAGGCTGCTTCCAGGTTCTGGCTATTACAAATAATGCTGCGATGAACATAGTTGAACAGATGTCCCGTTATATGAACATGCTTCTTTTGGGTATATGCCTAAGAGTGGAATTGCTGCATCTTGTGGTAGACTGATTCCCATTTTTCTGAGGAATCACCATACTGATTTCCAAAGTGACTGTACGAGTTGGCACTCCCACCAGCAGTGGAGGAGTGTTCCCCTTTCTCCACATCGTCTCCAGCATAAACTATCATTGGTGTTTTTTATTTTAGCCATTCTGACAGTAGTAAGATGGTATCTCAGAGTTGTTTTGATTTGCATTCCCAAATTCAAAACAAACAAGAATGAACAATCAATGGGCAGTATCATTTTTGATAGAGGTTGGGTGCAAAATCAAGAAAAAGAGCTAACGGCACACTGTGTAGCTCCAGAGGGATGTGTAGAAAATATGTCTTTCTTGCATGCTTAGAGGACTCTATGAGAGTTGTTGGTGTTTCTCTGTGTGATCTAGTCATCCATGACTGGAAGTCAACACCTCATGGACAAGGCTCTACCATTCACCCCAGCAAGGACACTACATAGGAGTCTAGATCTGAAATTGTTGTATCTACCTTGGGCTATTCTGAAGCCTGTGGGATGCTAGGTGCCAAATGGTCCTATGGCGCTCTCTCTCACACACACACCCGCCCTCCCTCGTTTGTCTCATTTCTGCACATCATTGGAGTCTGAACAACCTAGGTAAACATGGCACTGCAGAAGAAGGGCAAACCCAGGAACAAGAACAAATGATGGTATAAACACAGGATTTCCTAAAGGGTGGGTGGAGCTTCTCCCAAGAGATTCTGAAGGGGAAAGGGACTAGTTTAGAGAGGTACAAGGCTGAGGACTTGGAGGAGGAAGCATGTGAATTATCCATCTCTTTAGGCTATTTCCCTTTGGTGTGTCATTTACAGTTTTAGATTTATTATCAATACATTATTATATTATTGTAGAGTTATGCTATATGACTAACATAATAGTAATATATTATCACCACCTTTATGGAGCACTTATCCTTAGATGTAGCATCCTCCAATGAAATTTGTTGTGAAATAGGATGCTGTGATGTAGTGTAGGACAGTCACATGCCTCAGACACTTAGGACCATGGACCACCACACTAACCAGTAAAAAGAGAATCAGATCACTTGACTGCAAACCCCAGAACTTCAATTACATATTCAGGAGTCTTTCTTTCCTTCTGTTACTCTGTTTTCTCTTTGTGGCCTTTATTTCTCAAGGAGTCTCTCTCATGGACTGTTCAGCCATTTGTCACTCCCACCTGGCCTCTCCAACAAAACCAAAGCTTCAGTTTCTAGACTGTGTGGTGACAGTTTAGAAACAAACACTTATTGGCTTCTTCTGTCCTCTTACTGATCCATGTGGACAGGGATGCCAGGCCTGGACCATCAGAGATGGGCACAGCTGCCCATTGATAAAAATCTAAAATAAATATGTTGTAAAATTCAGAAATAGAGGAGGAAGGAGGTATGTGTGGGGAGGGTCAGGAGGGAGTAAGAGCAGGAAGCAAAATTACACAGTAGTGTTGTCCTTTCAAGAACTGGAAAGGGCAGGTGCTCAGTGTGAAAGTGGTGTGTGCCAGGAAGATTGAAGAGACAGTAAATGGCCATGAGTGTGAAACACAGTAACCCACGAGCAATCAATGGACAGGAAGTGACAAGAGAAACGGAGTGAAGGACAGCCCATAGACACTGCAAGGATCATGTCTATTGATGATATTTAGGCAGGGGACTGACATGTCACTATTTTCAGAGGTTGACTACCAGTTCTTACAAACTTTAGGAGGAGCAAGGAGTAGAAGAAGAAGGAAAACACTTGAGCTAAGTGGCGCAGAGTAGCAGCAAGAGATGGTAGGACCACATGGAAGCTTCATATACAACCACATTTAAGAATTCTTTTGAAGTGAACACCAATGGGATCTGGAGAGGGGTTTGAAGCAGGATGTGAGAAAAAGGAGTCCAAGATGAGTCTGTAACCCCAGTGCTGGATTGGAAGCCAGAGGATCCCTGGGGCCTACTGGACATCCAATATAGCCAACTTAGCTGGCTCTGGATCCAGAGATAGATCATGTGTCAAAACTGTAGGGAAGGTGATGGAAAAAGACCCTGTGTCAAACCATAGTGTAGAGAAATGGCAGAGAAAGACAGCCAAAGTCAGCCTCCAGCTTCTAGACATACATGCCCACCCAAAAACCTCAAAAATCTTTCCAAACCCTTGGTCCAGGCACCTTTCTCTGTAGGTAGGTACATTTGCAAAGTTTTTAATTCATAAAATGGGAAGCAAGGATAGATGTGTTCATCACAACTCTCAACTCCTGAACGAGGCTGAATGTTAGTTCATTTACTCATCCATCTCAGAGGGTTGGCAACCGACCCAGGAGTCAACAAGTTACTGCAATTGTCAAATCTGCCTTTTCTTTCCAGCCCCTGCTCTATTTCCTTTTGTTACAGTTTGGCTCTTAAACGCCCCCTAATGGGCAAATGTTGAAGTTCTGATCCCTCACTCCTGGACATTACTCCTGGTCCTCACTCTGTAGTGGGTGAGCTCCTGTGGAGGAAGTAAGAAATTGGGGAGGTGTCCTTAATAGATATGCTGGGACCCGACCCCTTTCTCTGACTCTCTTTTCTTCCCAGCCACCATGAAGTGAGAAATACTGTGCTTTACACACGCCCCACAATGATGCTGCTTCGTGACACACGCCTGTAGAGCAGTGTTTCCCAACCTATGGGTGGAAACCCTTTGGGGCTTCAAACATCCCTTTTGCAGGGGTCACGTTATCAGATATCCCGCATATCAGATATCTACATTATGACTCATAACAATTGCAAGATTATGAAGCCTCTGCCTCCCAAGCACTGGGATTAAAGGTATGCTCCATCAATGCCCAACTCTGTCTGGTGCCCTTACCTTAAGGTGTTAGATCCATTACCATCATGGGGGCGGGGGGGGGGGCGGGGAGGGAAGGGCACTGTGCCCTCAAGACATTCATCCTCCAAAAGGTGAGCTCCGGAAATCTCTCCCCTTTACGGTTGTTAGCCTGTCTCAAACAACTCCTTACACCGGTGACAAAATGGACTAACAGGAGAGCTGTTCAAATTGCCAGCCCCGGATTTTGTACCGAAAACTCAGAACATAAAAGTGCTTGGCCTGTTTGGTTCGGTTCTAGTAATAAACCCGGACAATTGCCAGAGCCTGGTAGTTCAGCCAGGAAATGGGTGCCTCTCAACTCTGTACCGCAGTTGCTGCACACGGGACAGTGGAACGATAGTACTGAATTGGCCTGGCCTTGCAGAGCAGGGCTCCAGCTCCCCTCTCCTTCACTCTGCACTTGCTTAGGGACATCTAGGAGCCTCCTACAGTCTGCCCCCAACCTTCTTAGAAATGATACAAAGTTTCAAAAGGTTTCAAAATGTGACCTGCAACAGCTTCCTGCAGTGGTCTGGGTGGTCCCACCCAGTACTTCTTCCTCAGCCTCCCATCCTTGTCTTCCTTCTTGTGTTAAGTTCTGAAAATTGGTTCCGATCCATCACTTAGCAACAGACAGGAGAATTTGTCCAAGCCTGCCTGAAATAGGGGTACAAAAAACCACAAGAATGAAGTTGTGTGCTTTTCTTTTTTTTTTTTCTTTTTTTAAGAAAAAGAAGTCCTTGGCAATTCTCAAGTATGCGTTCTGATGCTGGTGAGAGGTCTGAGTGAGCTGTGCTACATGTCTGTTTCTGTTAGCGTGCGTGTTAGCATCTTCTCCTGGGGCCATTTTGCCTCAGAGAGTATGTTTTGAATCTCTTCCATCCTGAAAAAAAAAAAAAAAAAAAAAAAAAAAAAAAAAAAAAAAAACAAAAAAACCCACAGGCGCTGTGAGTAAGGCAAGCGGCATGCAGGAGCCTGGGTGTGGGCTGGGATGCTCTCGCTTGCTGGCTCCTAAATTCTGGGAACAGAATCAATATTGTGGCAGGAAGAGTGTCTGTACAACAGACCCCAGGAAAGAAAGGTGAAGGGGGAAGTGGAGGCTCGCAAAAGAAAACTTGGGTGACCTTCCTTTTTTGTCATCCAAGACTGTTTCTCCTTGACTGGTAGAAAGAAAGCCCGGGATGACGTCCCTCACCCCTGATTTATTAATTTATCATGTATACAATGGTCTGTCTACATGTATCCTTGCACACCAGAAAGGGTACCAGATCTCATTACAGATGTTTGTGAGCCAGCATGTGGTTGCTGGGAATTAAACTCAAGACCTCTGGAAGAGCAGCCAGGGCTCTTAACTTCTGAGCCATCTCTCCAGCCCCCAGATGCGGGTTGAGCCTATGTTATCGATGACACCCTCAGATCTTAAAGGTAAAGAACGATGGAGCCACTGTCTAGACAAATTTGTCCCCAAACACCTCAAAGGTACCATGGCTAGTCCCAGACTCAGAAGGGGAAGCAAATGTGGTCCAGCAGACTCAGTGGGGAAGACCATCCTGAAAGTGGGTAGGGACCAATCTCTAGGCTGGGCTGGATAGAGGGAAAGAGAGGAAGCAATGCGGACTTCATTCCTCCCTCTCTTTCTCTGTCTGTCTGTCTCTGTTTCTGTCTGTGCATGTGCCTTTCTTTCTCTGTGTGTCTGTCTCTCTGTTTCTGTCTCTGTGTGTCCCTCTTCCTCTGTCTCTGTTTCTCTCTGAGAAGCCCCTGTCATCCTCCTCTCCTCAATTGGCTCTGTCTCAACAGCATGCCAACTAGCGCACTGGTTATCACAATGCAGGTCTCTTACATTAGCAGTCTTCGTGATGGGTAAACACACCAACATGACATCTTCAAACTGTAGAAGACAGAGTTCTCCCCCTCATCCTCTACACCCTCTCCTACTCCCTCCCTCATCTTCCCCCCCTCTCCTTTCCCCATCTCTCCCTCTCTCCTTCTGTGTGCTAGTCATTTTTCATCACTGTTACACAACACCTCAGAAAACCATCTTAAAGGAGGAATGATTAGCTTTGACTCACCATTTCAGAGTCTCCAGCCCATGGTCCTCTGACTCCATTGCTTCTAAGCTGATGATGAGGTAGAGTGCCATGTCAGAAAGGCATAATGGGAGAAGCCAAGTCTTTTAGTTAACACCAGCCAAGAAGCACAGGGGGCAAACAGAGGAAAGTTCTGGGGACAAGATACAAGTTTCAAGGGCACATCTCTAGACACGGACCCTGCCTTAATTCAGTCCTGAAGTCCAGGATGGATTAATACATCGATGAGGTTATCTGTCTCATGATTCCACCATTCTCAACAACACCACCAGCTGGGGGCCAAGCCTTCACAACAATGAGCCTTTAGTGGGACACGTCATATTCAAATAATGACACTTGGCATGGATAAATGGCTTGTGATGATTAAAGCCAATGAACTTCTCTTATGTTTTTAGTTATGCCTGAGGTTCATTCAGAGAGCACCGAGACAGCCTAGGAGTCCACTAGAAAGAAAGAACACTGCCTTTTCACACAAGTCCTTTTGTTCATAATCCTTGAAATAAGATTTTAAGGTTACTTCAAGGTGAATTTTCAACTCACCCAGCAAGTAAAGGAGACAGAAACTACAAGAGTAGGTTTCCCCTGTGTTTCTGATTTCTGGTTGTATACTGGTCCTATCTGGGAAAAAGGAAAGGAAGACAACCTCAAGAAGTCCCTAAATGTAAAACTGATACAATTACCCAAGCAGGAGTAATGAAGCTATTGCTTCAGCCGTGATATGTCAGGGGGGTAATCAGGATGTGTTTCAATGACCCTCCAAAGATTGGGATGCACAAAGTTTTTGTATTTAAAAAAAGTGTTATGGTGCCTCATGCACTACACTGCCTATGAAACCTCCCTTTCTCTTGTGTGGCTCATATATGTCCAAAGATAAAGCCTGAGGTCAAGCATTGCTTGGAACATCACCCCTCTCTCCGGCCCCACTTCAGTGCCTGCTACACATTCCCAGTACTGGAATAAAAGGTCTCACATATGATAGATGACACTGGGGCAATGACTATCCTTGAGGCCACAAGATTTATTTAACACCATGATCAGACAGACAAGAGCATGGCAAGAGAGTTCACGCCCCAGCCACCAGAGACAGACAGTACGATGGGAGGACATGAGGGTCCTGTAGCAGATGTGGGAGTCTTTTGTGATGAGGGGGTTGTTTCTCAGCACCAGCCCATAGCCGGCTCTCTGAATCCTATGCAGGAGGCAAGGGACGGGGTGAGGAGCAGGACTGTGATCACCAGCTCCCTCTTTCAGGGAAATGTACTTTTCTAGGTGAGAGATATTGTCACTGGAAGTCAGTGAGCTAGGGACTCACAGACAATGTCTCAGTAGGGCACCCGTGTGGATCTGTGAAAGGGGATATGCTGCTGCAGGACCCTGTGACCTGAGCAAGAACTGGATCCTAATGGCTTGTTGTTTGTTTGTTTTGTTTTGTTTTGTTTTGTTTTCTAGGCACCTAAACTCATCTCTATGTTCATATATTTGACTGACAGGTGACTCTGCCTCTACATTCAGATACGGTCTAAACTAGATGCTGGTGAATTGTGTATGGCCCCTGCATCAAATCCTGCTTACCACTTGGCTTTGAAATACAATTTTCTTGCCCCGTCACTCCTGTTTTGTGTGTGCCAGTCCTCAGGCTTTCAACAGCTGCATCGAATAGCTGCATTACCCACCATATGGCTCACAAAGCAAGATATGTAGTGTTGGAGTTTATACAGCAGGGGATTATGAATCATGGTCTAAGCCTCTTGGCCCAGTGATTGGTTTAAGAATGGGAACACATACTCTTATTAGTCAGTCAGTTATGATGAAGCTGCTACATTTCCCTGAGAAGACAGAACAGGGGTAGACAACATGTTCATTCTCAGACTGTTGCTCTGTGTGAAAGATAATCCCTGAGGATGGTGGAGAGGATGCATACTAGGCAAGGCTCTGTAGAGGAACAGAACCCATATGTATGTGCATATTATAAAGATGGATTTACTAGATTATCTTACGTGATGGAGTTATGTAATTCTGCCATGATGACCTGCGTGCTGGAGACACAGAGAAGCCAAACTGAAAAGTAGGATGTCTCAACCATCGCAGTGGAGGGTTGAAGGCCTAGAAGCCTCAGGAAAGTCACAGATATTCAGTTCACAATGAAAGGTGACAACATATTGAAAGGGTCTGACATCAGTTGACTGTGGCTGAAGCAAGGGTAGCCATTCATTCAGAAGACAAAGGGGCTCACACGTGTGTACACTGTCTTCCTCCAAGTTCTCATCTGAGCATCTAGGCTTTCTAAGGTACCACCAACATTCCAAAAGTCTCCCTTACCATACCACTGTTCCACCTATCAATCATCTATGAACACCGCCTACCACATACACACAGGTGCATTTCACCAGTCCTGGCCAACCCTTAGTTCAATCCAGTAGACAACCTGGGCCAACCATCCAAGAAAGAAGTTGAATCCTTGATTATATCGATGGATTCATCAACCAACTCTACAGAACGCCTTACTGTGGACTCTTGTTTTTTAAGTTGGAAAGAGGATGGTGTCCTCATTTCTGTTCTATCGCTGTGAAGACACCATAACGAAGCCAACTGTTATAAAAGAAAGTATTTAGTATTGGGGGCTTGCTTATAGTTTCAGAAGGTTATTCCATGATCATCATGGCAGGAAGCAGACAGACATGACTCTGGAGCAGTAGTTAAGACATTTACATCCTGATCCACAGGCAGCAGGCAGGCAGAGAGGCAAGACCTGGCATGGCCCTTTGAAACTTCAAAGCCCACCGGCTGTGACACACCTCCTCCAACAAGATCACATCTCCTAATCCTTCCCAAACAGTTCTACCACCTAAAGACTAGGTATCCAAATATAGGAGCCTATGGGGGCCATTCTCATTCAAACCACCACAGATGATTTTATCAATTTTTAAGACAAATATGTACATTCCAATTTTAGAGTATAACTAAACTTGGAAAGTGATGCTTACAAAAGATAGAATAGTTGTTGTATGGACTGTGAAATCATGCTAACAAATTTAACACTTGGAACTTCTACATATATTTAAATAGCATGTTCTATAATATAACATCCAATAATCAAAAGCCTTCATATCACTACCCAAGTCTTCAGATGAATATTCAGTACTGGTAGAACACTAACTCAGAAATTTTTCAATAAGATTAATATTTTCTTAAAAAGCAACATTTTTGTTTTTGGCATCAAATACTACCACTTTTTTTCTATTGAAGCAACAACCTTAGTTTTTCTTTGAGATTGTATTTTAAATTAATTTCTCCTTCTAAACCCTCCCATATACACCCCCTTGCTCTCCTTCAAATTCATAACCCCCTTTTTATCAGTTATTATTGCATGTATATATGTATATGTAGATACATGTATATTCCCAAACATAATTTGTTGAGTCTATACAATGTTATGGGTATGTATGTCTCCAAGGCTCACTGTTTGGTACTAGACAACCAATTTGTGTGTTTCTCCTTGGGAAGGGTCACCAATTTAGTCTACCAGTAACGAATATTCTTTTTATGATTTAGATAGTGATATGGACTAGCAATAAATGAGATCATCTACCATTTGGTAAAAGGTAGCTATGAATAACTTGTAGCTGATATCATACTTATAAATGAGAAAGTGGCTGGTGTGATGATGCATGCCTTTAATCCCAGTACTCAAGAAGCAGAGGGAGGTGGGTCTATGCGTTCAAAGACAGCTTGGGCTACACAGAGAAACCCTGTCTAGAAAAACCAAAACAGAGACATGTTGGGGGTGGGGTAGATGTTTTTCCCCTAATACTGTGAAAAGGGGAAATATGCATCCCTGTGGTGTGTGTGTACATTATATCATGTGGGTATACATGTATGTGTGAGCATATATGCACATGTGTGTGGAAACATCAGACATCTTCATGTATAAGGCCTTGCCTTAGTTTTTGACACAGGTCAAACAACCTGAAATTTGACAAGTAGGCTAGATTAGATAAGGCCCAGGGATGCATCTGTGCCCCGCCCCCACTTCTTACAGATGCATGCCACCACACTGGCTTATTAGATGAGCGCTAGGGACCAGTTCAGGCCCTCTTGTTTACACATCCAGCACTTAAGCAACTGAGCCTCTCTCTATTTTCCCTCTGATGTTTAATACTTCTATTAAACACCATACTGGAAGTTCTTGCCAATGCAATAGAGCAGGAAAAATCAGTAAAATGCCATAATTGGACAGGAAGAACTGAATTGCCAAAGAACTATGCAAGGAGTCTGCAATTCCACTCGCAATGTAATAAGTTGCCTTTCTTCTGTAGAAAGAAAGCAGAGGAAATAAAGTTCTTTGATTGGAGAAAAGTATTTTATTTCTCAGAGCAATACCAGTTCCAGAACATCAGCATATTCTTCTGTTGGTTCCTCTAATACTTTCTACAAGTCACATGGACAACTGTCCATGGTTAAAGCTCCCAAATATTTTACAGTAGTTGTCACTGTCAGCCTGAAGCTGGGGATGAAAGGAGAATTTGACTACAGAGAGACATAGTGACTGAGGGGCACAGTAGAGCTGCTTTTTATATTCTGAGTGAGGTGGTAGTGGTGAAGGGGATTGCCAGAAAGACACTTGAAGCACAGATTTGACTCATCTCCTAAAAATTTCATACTTCAGAAGGTAAATTACCCTGCATTTAAATTAGGCCTTATATTTTAACAAATGAATTATGGAGAAGAACAGACAAATGTACTATCTAGACAAAAGCGGGCCCCAGCATGACAATTACCATATTTTACCTTCTAGTTTTCCTTTTTTTTCTACCCTTCAGTATTTTTCGAGACAGGGTTTCTCTGTGTGGCCCTAGCTGTCCTGGAACTCACTCTGTAGACCAGGATGTCCTCAGACTCAGCGATCGGCCTGCCTCTGCATCCTGAGTACTGGGATTAAAGGTGTGCACCACCACTAGCCAGCAAGTTGTATGTGGTTTTCCACTTGAGATTTATAATTATTTCGTTTTTGTGTATGTGTGTTTACTATTTTTGGATACAAATTCATTGATTTTACTCTTATAGCCCCCTAAATTCATGAGCATTTCTCAATTAATGACCTTAAATACAACACAATAACTCCATGACAAGGAGACAATAACTCCATGACAATCCCATAACTCCATGACAAGGAGAACCAAATACAAGCATGAGGTACTGAGAATGAGCAACATTTCCATCATGTTAGAATGACCCACTCAGATCAGTCCAACTGTGAGGCTAGGGCCTCCAGTCTTATCCACTCCAGTACTATGA